TTTTGTATTATTTGACTTTAACTATATACATTTATTTGTTGTTCTTTTCTTTTCACTATATCTGTAAAGCGTCTTTGAGCACCTGTAAAACCGCTAACAAAATAAATCTATTATTATTATTATTATTATTATTATGTCTATAACAGCATTTCATTTGTGTGCAAGAGACTATAACTTACTAGCTTACAGAAATAGATGAAACTTGTCCGAAAAGTTGTTTCTTAACCAGCGCTGTTTGTATCGAGTAACGTTAAATCAAAACACAAAATGCTGAGACAGTTTCTACGAGCCTCCCTCTGCTGCTTTTGACGACTCAAAGCAAAGTTAGCGCGCTGGTAGTGATACGTTCTTATATGTTATTATCATTAATGATAGAGGTTTATTATGAAACCATAGTCTTATATTACTGATATTTGGAATTGAAACCGTACACCCCAGCACGTGCACTCCGCTCTGCATCAGCCTAACAGCTCGCTGCACCCGCACTGCGAGGGGGACCCAAGTTCCCATCAGCAAAAACACGTGGGTTTGCTATCCTGGCACCAAAATGGTGGAACGAGCTCCCCATTGACATCAGGACAGCAGAAAGCTTACACATCTTCCGGCGCAGACTGAAAACTCATCTCTTTCGACTCCACTTCGAGCGATTGAATTACTAACAAAGCACTTATATACTAATAAAGGACTGGCTTATCTAAAGCCAGTTGAGTAGCACTTGAAATGTTTTAGCTCTATGAAACCTGATGTACTTATATGATTCTGTTTTCTTCAAGTTTGTATTTTGTTGGTCGAACGCACTTATTGTAAGTCGCTTTGGATAAAAGCGTCAGTTAAATGCAATGTAATGTAACATTTTTTTCTTTGGGAAGCAATACAAAATTGCCTTGAGTCAGTCTGCAAAAGTACGGAAGAGGATTAGGCCCACGTGTTTTTTTTCAATACAACATTTAAAGAAACATTTAAAAAAGAATCTTAATTCTGAGATTTTCAGCAACATTTTTTTTTACGTTTGGTCCGATCTGATTTTTTTTTACGTCAGATCTAATAATGTTTCACCCTGTAAAGCCACACAAATGTACAGGAATTGTATTAGTACTCGTCATGTTAATGTTAAGTAAACACTACAAAATTGAGTGGATCATGCAACCTGACTCAGCTGGGGGAGAATACTGTCTTGATATTTCCTTTTTAGTGTCTGTACACTGCATGCAAAATCCCAATGAACTGTTTGTGAAGAGAGATAAACATCAATGTGGAGTCCCGTTTCCTAATTAAGAAGTCCGGCCCTTCCTGAGCCACCAGCCGCAGACACCTCAGGCTGTCGGGAAACAAAGGTGCAGCAGAAGCCAGCTGCTTTACTTCAGTGCTCAAGATCCTATTAGGGAAACAATAACCCACAAGACACTGATTTTATGGAGTCAACAGGGTCGGAGCCAAGACAAATTCCAGACTGCTAATGGGTGAATATCAGCCTTCCCATAACTGATTTGAATATAATCTAAACATTCCTAAACATCTCAGTCATGATCTACCCGCCTATACATAGTCCTTATGTGTTTTCTTAAGGGCTTAGTGGATTGTGTACTGCCAGTAAATCATGTTCATAACAATGTCTCTCGGAAATTGTGATTCCCAATACTCATCCATGATGTGATTCATTTTATTACTCTCTCACAGAGTTCATCGCCAGGTCACAATGGATAAGCATGAAGTGACATTTCTCAATCAAAGATGTGTTTTGCTCACTTTGAGAAGATAGAAACTGCTTTTAAACCGAACGGACCCAAAACCCTAACAGATTACAGGTGCATGGTTTTAATGTGTCCTAGATACAGGCCCTTGGTGGCCATGTCAGCTTGATTTGTTATTCAATTATGTTATTTCTTTATTTGGATTAGACTATAATACCCCATTATGAGGTTAGACCAATCATGTTGCTTTTGGCTCAAATCCAACATATTCTTTATAGCTCTTAAAGAGTTATTAATAAAGCATAACTTAATATAACAAGTGTGCATAACATACTTTTGGTTTTACTAAACGAACACAGATTGGAAAAGGCTCCTCACCTATTATTATGTAGCTTAAAGGTGACCTATCATGCAAAATGCACTTTTGTACATCTTTTATACATTAATATGTGTCCCCGGTGTTCCAGGGAACTCACCAGGTGTCAAAAAACACAACCCTCTCTATTTTCCTCCATACCCAAATCTCTTAAAAAGGGGCTTCAACGGATCTGATACAGAAAATAAATACCTGTCAGAGACTGTCTCATTGATCTTGAATATATCAAACTGGATTTGTTCTGAAGGGAAGGCATTGTTTTTGTATAGGTCATTATATTTACACTTAATGAATTACCCTTTATAAAGTTCTTTAAAAGGAAGAGAATTGGATCAATTAAAAAAAATATATATATATATATTTCACCTTTTATTTAAAGCTTCATCTAGACAGTTGTTATTTTCACCGCTTTTCCCTCATTGCGTTCTCTCACTGGTTGAAAGTTTTGCATTGTAACATTTTCAACCAATCAGACTGAGGGCAGATGAGCAGCTTTGCTCTTTACGTCACATCCGATTCAAACAACGGCGCGCGCTATGTTTCTGCCTGATGTCCACAAACAACTCGGTTTTCTTTCAGTTTTCTACATTTAAAACAAAGATTTAACGGTGACGTTTGGCAACACAAACTCGTAGTTGTGGCTTAATGCTCCTGAACAGAAGATAACGTCTGTCATTTATGGTAAGAAACTATACGTATTATCTAAATGAACAATAACCATGTTTAATGTTTAGCATAACACACCGTTAAGCTAGCTCTCTTGTTTACACACTCAGCGATGTTTTGTACAAAAATACACCTAAAGCTTTTTTACTGTGAGACATTTTGGGTGACTCAGTCGCTACCATTGTTCTCAATCATTGTTTTGTGTGTACACTCGTTCTGACCTCGCTCAGCTGTCATCATGTCCCAGACCAACTCCTCTCTCCTGGACGAGGTGGTGCAGTGGAGTCAGGAAACCTGCCGCCGGGAGCTCAAGTCCGTCCTGCCAAAACTCACTATATCCTCTCAGACATAATCAGGTTTACTCATTTGATGTCATGATTCATAGCATCATACACTAGTGGTTTCAATAAGGAGAGTCCAGTGATATGCAGGTCTTGTTTTGAAGTTTTTAAATGCTCAAACTACTGAAAAAGCATTGGAATAGACACACTAAATGTGGGATTATGTCTACATGTCTATGAAATTAAATGTTTTATGAGGGGGAATCAGTATGCCTGTACAGTCTATGACTTGTACGTATAAATTCAATTCAAACCAAAATCCTAAAGCCCATATAAGATGTTAAAGTTTGACAAACATATGGTTTAGTATGTTCGAGGAAATCTGTGCACAAGTTTAGGTTTTGCTCAAGCTTATCCATCATACCTTTTCACTGTTATTGCAATCCTTATCTACTGTATAAGGAAATATATATGATTTGAATTTGCAGTGGTTTTCCTTGACTGTTTTTCACTCTTTGCATAATAACTCTGAGAGTTGGGATGACCATATACGTAAGTTTCTTCATTGCACAATTTATAATAATCAATCACCTCGTTTTGTGCCTTGAGTATTACTAAGTATGATCATACTGCATCCCTCCAGGTGTGTTGAAGATCATCACAGACATGTTCCTCCCTCATATTGGTTTGTCTGAGCTGGAAGATGAGTGCTTCTCCAAGATCCTACCAAAGGTAAACACTAGACAACGTCATGAATGCAAATACACGTGAATAGAACTAGTTGCATAACACAGAGTGAATGCATGTGATGGAAAAAGTCTTTAAATTAGGTGATAATCTCTGAACTCAAGGCCCTTAAAGATCTTAAACAGAGCAATATATAGGTAGTTGTTTTCCAAATGTCACATAACATTTTTCAATCTCAGTTGGTGATGTTGTATGTTTCTTTAAAGTCTTTCTTTTGACGAGTACTTCCTACATATTAGAAGTTGTAGGACTTGTTGATAGAGCTTTATTTATCCTGTGAATATCTGGTTGATTTACATTTTCCCTTAAAAGTGTTTAGTAGTATTGATAAGTCTGTGTGTTATTGCCCCTATCTGTCATAAATGTCTGCAGGCGGTGACGATGTTTGACCGCATGATGAAAGAAATCATGGACCACGTTGGAGGCCTGTCGAGTCAAAACACTGAACTCTGTTCCTTACTCAGGAACATCCTGCAGGTACTGCTTGTTGTTATCAAAATGTTCAAATTAGAATGACATGTTATGCTATGTAAGTTCTATATTCTCTGACAAACATTGCTCTAACTTCTATACCAACCAATATGTTGACAAGATGCTGTTGTGTGTTTCAGGCAATGATGCAGATAATCAACGCTCTATCCACCTGCGTGCGTCATGTTGGTTCGTTTGGGGAAACTCCCGATATAGACGCCATCCGCTCGTTACCAACTTGTATCCTGAAAGTCCTGAGGGAAACCTTTCAGCACTGCAAGGTACGTCTGCTTAGTCACTCTTAACCTGTAATGCAGCTCTTAATGCATCTACAATTATTACAGTTACATAAGAAATCATGCATTTAGCTATCAGAATTCAAAAATGGGATTTGATCTATTTTAGCTATTGTTATTTATAAAAAAGGGGAAAACTCTGTTAAAAAAGTGCTTCGTTTTTTCAGAACATTCAAACATTCCTAAAGGGACTCATTTGTACTTCCTCCTCATTATCCTCCTTCTTCTTATGCAATCATGTATTACCAGAAGTGTAACTTTAGGTGAAACAGCTCATGATAACCTCACAACAGGAAACTGTGATAAGCATCTCTTTGTCGCAGGAAACACTTTTACTAAAAAGGGAACATCAATTCAATTCCTAATTTTATTCAAATCAATCTTTTTCTCAATAGAAACGAGTTATCAAAGTCAAAGTCAACTTGTTTGTCGATCTTTTAGTTTGTGTGTACAGACAGAGAGATCGAAATACCATTTCCCACAATCCCGAATATAAAAAAACAAATATGTATAAAATATGTATATCCTATATATACACAATCAACAGACACATTTATACATGTGAACACATTAAAGGTGGGGTAGGTAATTCACTTCAGAAACACTTTTTGTTATATTCCATGGAATGCTCTTAACATCCCGATAGCAATGAATACATTAAATGCTTTGACAATAAATACATAAATGTCATCTGTGGAAGCCGTGGCGCTGTAAAAAGCACGACCAATCATCTGAGCCGGCCCGGCTAAAATAACTGGATGGCCTACCTGCCTGTCAGCCTTCCATCTGGGCACAAACTTATCTCGTCCCCTCATTGGTCATGTGCGCGTCCGTGTGTGTTGGAGGAGGGGCTCTGTAAGGAAGTCTGAAGGAAGGGGCAGATTTTTTCCGGTTGTGTATTTTCAAATTCTAACGCACTCGAGCTGGTTTCTCCATTCTTACCTACCCTACGTTTAAGATTAAAACAAAAAACACAAAAATCAATATATAGAAAATAATAGTCACTTCAATGTCATTAGTGCAAAATTGTCCATAGTAGCGTTAAAAAAAAACAAAAAAAACATTGATTTAATATGAATTTGTGTGAAAATGTGACTAATTGAAAATGATTTGAGCATAATGTGCATGTGGTCCTCAGGAGAGTGAGGTGGTTTATTGCGGCCGCCTGTCCCTGGTGGCCGACCTGCTGCAGGGACTCTTTAAAGAGGCCTACTCCCTCCAGAAGGCTCTGCTGGAGCTGCTGGAGCCGATCTCACTGGACAGCAACGCCTCAGAGGAAGAGGTCTCTGACATCGTAACAGGTGTGTGTGTATTTGTTTTCCACTGACACATCCTTTAGTATTAAACCCTTCTGATGTTAAACGTTATTTTTTACATTCCTCAGTGATTCACAACCTGCTGGATATCTGCTCCATCATCTCTAACTTGGACATGGCAATGCATGCAAACACATGGAAGTTTGTCATCAAGTCAGTACTGCAGACACTCATGTTGTCACACTTAATGTCATGTTATCTGTGAGTTTAAGTATTGGAAATCATGTAACAGCTCATTTGGTTACATGTGTTTAGACAGAGTCTGAAGTACCAGTCATTGGTGGAGGAACATCTGCATCACGGAGACATCAGCAGCAGCCTGTGTGACAACCTGCTGGCCTCCTTCCTCACCTCTGTGGAGCTCGCTGAACAGATCACACACGCTGGACTACAGGTAGTAAAGCTCTTAATGGTGAAAAAAGATCCACAAGATATTATTTGTACATTTCTAGAAAGGCAGGCAGGACATTGCATTTCAGTGGTGGACTTCTAAGAATGAAGCAGTTTGTCTAATAAAGCCAATGTCAACCAGGAACAGGACAGTCTTTAACACAACTACAGCAGAGTTCCCGTTAGAATAATTATTTGCCGGTCAAAATGTCCATTAAAGTTTAAATCTTCCGGACAAAATGAGAAAAGTGCCGGTCAAAGGTCTTCTTTGTTATTTATTGAGCTTGGTGGTCAAAACGTTTGAGACCCACTGAGATAACTTAGACTAAAATGAACTATCTAAACACTCAGAGTCCTTTACCTCACTGAGCCTCTCAGGCTTACAGGAGAGCTCTCCTCAACCATGGTTGTAGAAACATCTACTTCTTATATCCGTTAGCGCAGCTAGCACCAGATTCTAATAACAACAGCGCCGGTACCGGTGCGCCCTCTCCCTTGCTCGCTCTCTCGCTACCACGCTCGCACTTTGGCTGTGAGCTGCGGGCGCCTGATAAGCCAACATCCCCCACTTTCATCACTTTCACTTACAGCGCCCACCGTACAGGGCAAATGAAACGTGTAACCGGGGTGAAAAGGGTGTTACATTTACTTAATTATGAATGTTGTTACATCAAGGCCGAACATTTGGATGAGCGCCAACGGTCAAAAAAATGTTTTCCCTCCCAGAGCTGCCAGCGCAGCGCTCCCCAGATGTGGCGCCCTAGGCGACCGCCTGTGTCGCCTATGCCAGTAACACAAATACTACAAATCCACATAACAAACAATCAAAAATGAAAAAGGGTCGCCACTTATTATTATTTTTAAGAAAAAAGAAAAAAAGTAAAGAAAAAAAAATATATATATTTTTTTTTGGGCACCTGGCTGGCGCCGCCTAGCAGCGGCGCTCATATTTCAGCAGCGGCGCTGCGCCGCCACTATTTGTATATAGGGGAAACACTGATATAACTAGTTACGGTAGTTTGAGAGGTCATTAAAATAGCTACGTGTGATATTATAACCTGAAGAGTGTGTTTTGTTCCACTCACCGCAGCAGATGATCATACAGAGCTGCGTGTCGACTCGTCAGCAGCAGCTGATCTCTCTCTCCCGTCAGATTAGACTTTACTCACATTTATGTCCATATCGATCAGATCCAGCTAGTTCTAGCTAATGATATGACTACCTGCTTATCAATAGACACCTAAACAATAAGCGTTGCTATGCAACCGGGTGAGGCCGCAAAGTATAGCGCAGCATTTTGCATTTGTTTACATGCCCACCGGAACCCCGAGGCATTACCAACAGATCAACGCACAATCAACCCATACGGGACATCTCTTTCTCCACATTAAGAGATTAGAATTGACTCTTCTTGTCTGTCACATACTCTTTTGTCTGTCACATAAGTGGCGCAACTGATGCGGTATTGCGCTAAGGGGAAATTATTTTGACCGGAGAGATTTAGATTTGCCGGTCTTCAGCATATTTTACCGGTCATAGTCGGGAACTCTGAACTACTGTCTCCACTATAGCATTTATTTGTGTTTGTTTTACAGAAAACATGAGCCTTTTGGTTTATCAGAATAGATTTGATCTCCTGGTGGCCTTTGTTGTATTATTGCTCCTTCTTCCTTTCCAAAGGAGTCGACACAAAGCCCAGAATACAAACTGTTCCAGAAAACTGCAAAGATGTGCAGATTCTTTGCCAACACGTTGGTTCATTACATAAAGGTAAAGAAATGGATGTTGTTGATCATTTCTATATCCGTTACATTTTCCTTCTGGGCTTCAGAAAACAAAGCAGCTGAACTTAAATCCCATCATTTCTTATCATCAGGAGTTTAAATGTTTTCTGACAAAGTATTGCAACGACTTTCACCAACTCTACCTCCAGATAATGAGGTACGTGTGGTTTTAAGTTGCAGATTCAGTCTTTAATTCACCTTCTATCATTGAGTAGTGCGTAAACTTACAGTCGAATGTCTTTCAGTAAGTTCCCTCCCAGCCTGTGTGCTCCATCTCTTCCCCCCGCTCTGTCCGGGGAGCTGCATGCAGCCGCTCTGGTTCCCATCGATGCCTTCCTGCTCCAGCTGCTGCCTCTAAGGCCCTTCGCTGAAATTGTCCTCCAGCAGGACCTGCGTGAGTTTAACGTTGAATCTTTTTTTTATCAAGATATTCAGGCAGGGTTGGTAGATGCTTTTCTGTTTCCCTTTGCTGTGGCCAGGTTTTAGAGGATCTTCAGTGATGAGTTGAGACCATTCCTTATTCTAAATAATGTACTTTTGTGAGGTTGTGCCGTAAACTAACCTTAGTTAGGAGGACGCTCCTATCAAACAGAAAGTCCAAAGTCACTATTGTATGCTTAAAGGTAGCTCGAGGGCGCTAGAGTTTGAAAGTACACAACCGAAGCAAATCTGCCCCTTCCTTCAGACTTCCTTACAGAGCCCCTCCTCCAACACACACGAACGAGCACCTGACCAATGAGGGCACGAGATAAGTGTGTGCACAGATGGAAGGCTGACAGGCAGGTAGGCCATCCAGTTATTTTAGCCGGGCCGGCTCAGATGATTGGTCGTGCTTTTTACAGTACTACGGCTTCCAGAGATGACATTTTTTTATGTATTTAATGTCGAAGCATTTAATATATTAATTGCTATTGGGATGTTAAGAGCATTCCATGGAATATAACAACAAGTGTTTCTGAAGTGAATTACCTACCCCACCTTTAAGTGATTAGTAGAAATACTGAAAGGACCACAAGTGGCAACTTTTTGACTACAGATGGGGTCCAAAACTAGCAAGCCACATGAATGCCTGGGAGCAAATACATTTTATATGCTACACAAATATGGCCAGGATCTGTTGAATACAGAATATTGGGTTGAAGATTAGAATTTTCCAAAGGGAGGTTCGTTTAGCATGAAACACTTGAGATAACTAAAGGATAAGTTAAAAAAGAAAGTAGAAAGAAAGTGAGGTCAAAGTAAACTATTTCTGCTAAAAAGTGAGCAATGATTGAGAGTCAGAGCTAAACATTTCAGATGTGTGTATCTCTCACTGCACTGTCGCTTTAATTAATGTACCTTTTGTTTTTTATATATCTTTGCTTTTAAATGAGTGTTTCTAAATGCCCTTTGATCATATGTTTCTTAATGTTTTTAATTGTTGTAAAGCACTTCGAATTGTACTGAATGTACTCTTCCAATATCAGAGTAGCACATGATAACAAAGGCCCTACGTGGCTGTGTACATGACAGGATGTATGATTACCTAGAAGAGCATCTGGACTGTAGACATGATAGCTCTGTGATTAACATGATGATTCAGCCTCTATGGAGAGAGACATATGACTGTCATGTTTATTGCTTACGCAGGCTTTTAGCTAATCTGAACTAAACATTGTAAACTGCTTTGAACCGGTATTCCTCCATCTTGTGACTGTATCCCTCTCTTGTATATCAGCATGTGAAGGACACTGTTCAGGAACTAGTTGAACCAAATGCTCTGTATGTGATGACTACTTCCATTCTTGAGAGGATAATAAATACATGTTTCCTGATATTGAAGATCAAGCCGGTGCCGAGTGATATTTTCCTAACACCTTACCTTGCATATTACAAGATAATAGAGGCCTCAAAACAAGGTTGCCAACATACAATCTTAAAAGGTCGCTTGTGTTGTTTGTGAGCAGGACTGTCTCCTGAACATGAGCTTCCTCACTGCCTGCTGCTGGTGAACGTCCTGGGTCAGCTCTCCTCCCAACCAGAGGAGGTGCTGCAGCTTTGGTACTCCGGCAGCCACTTCTCAGAGGAAACTCCCAGGTAATAAACGGCTGTCATCCCCAGAATTGTCGCTGTTGAAACATGTGACTAAAAGAGATAGTTTGGATCTTTGGAAGTGGGGTTGTTAAAGAGACTTATCCATAGTTGGTCTGTTACCTACAGTAGATTCCTAGTTTGGAAAAGCAGACGGGGTTAACTTACGACATCTTATCGCTGTGATTGGAGTCAGCAGCAAAACAATTTTAGCCACCTTAAAGAATATCAGTGTTGCTATATTTAAATATTTATTTTTATTTTTTAATGCTTTGTCTTGCTGTCAGATGGCCCTTTCCAACGGGGAACTAAAGCCTTTATTCCACTAAATCCACCAGACACCATTAGAAAATAAAACAAACAAAAATGTTGTTGTAGGAAAATGGATTTGCTGGTCCATCGCAACCTTAATTACTACGTTTGTTTTTCTTATTTAGACACTCTACTAATCCTATAAAACACTTTTTAAACATGTTTTAATTTCCAGTTTCGTACTTTACAAAGAGTTCATCAATTTCCGATCCAACATACCTAATTAGATATGATTTGTTATAAGGTGAGTTTAGATTGCATTTGTGCATGAAAAAGATTATAATGATCATCAATGTATTCACGATAAAATCTTGTGTCTGAAATGTTATTAAAAAATATATATTTTCCCACCCCCTCTGTTTCCAGGCTCCCTCTCTACCAGGCCTTGTTCACCAGTTTCAGGCGATGCTACACTGAGCGCCAGGTACCGGTGCTGTTGCCGGGGGTGATGATGAAGGGTCAGGCCCAGGTCCAGGTCTCGCTGCACAACCACCTCTGTGTGCAGCTCTGTGCCAGCGTGGCTGCGCTGCCTCCGGTGTTCCTCCGTGTGCTGGTGAGGTCTACACACACACTGTGTCCAGTGCTGCTGATAACATTAAGACTATTTTCTAGGGATGTCCCGATCACCTTTTTTTGCTCCCGATCCGATTCCGATCATTTGATTTTGACAATTTGCCGATACCGATTTTTCCCGATCCGATCTTTATGCAATGCATTAAGAGAAAAAAAAGAAAAACAGCATTCAAGTTGTCCCTTAAGGTTATTTTTTAATTTAAATTGGATATTCTATCCAACATGGATATAGCTTCTTTCTTTCACAGCAGCATTGGATCAGTTCAGTTGTGCAGCATTGGATCAAAACAAAATAAAGCTTTCAGTACTCGTTAGCTTACTGCTACAATTAGACACTGCGCCCTGCCCACTCTGTTGCCAGATTTGAGAGAAATAAGCAACCAGGTCTATGAAAACAAGCCCCAAAGAAGCAACACATACATGATGTTGTGTAATTTGAAACCAAAACTAAGGCCTCAGGATGACTTTAAGACTTGAACATG